AGGTTTAAATATGAAAACAAACAAACCTTTTAAAAAAAAATCACCGATCTTGCCCTAACCGGTTTGGCTGAGTGGATAGAGCGTCAGCCTGCAGACTGAAAGGTCCCAGGTTCCATTCCGGTCAAGGGCATGTACCTTGGTTGCAGGCACATCCCCGGTAGGGGCGTGCAGCAGGCAGCTGATCGCTGTTTCTCCCATCGATGTTTTTAACTCTTTATCCCTCTCCCTTCCTCTCTGTAAAAAACCAATAAAATATATTTTTTAAAAACCACCTATCTTTACTTATTTATTTTTAATCCTACCCGAGGATATGTTTCTTTTTTAATATGTATATATATTCTTATGTGCACAGACCGGGAATCCATCGAGACCTCCAGGTTCATAGGTCAACCACTAAGACCTCCAGCCAGGCTGGAGGATACTTTTATTTTATTTTATTGATTTCTGGAGGAAGGGAGAGGGAGAGAGAGACAGAAACATCAATGATGGGAGAGAATCACTGACTGTCTACCCCTTGCACGCCCCCCACTGGGGACCGAGCCTGCAACTCAGACATGTACCCAGAATGGAACGGAGCCGGGACCCTTCAGTCCGCAGGCAGACTCTCTATCCACTGAGCCAAACCGGCTAGGGCTGGAGGTGGTGGGTATGTCTTTACTGAGTTTTATCGAGAGGAAAGGCTAGAAAGAAACATTGATGCGAAGAAGAAACTTCCACCATTGCCTCCCACAGGCGTCCAACCAGGAATCCAACCTACAACCCAGGTATGAGCCCTTCACCAGGAATCCTTCGGTGTGGAGGTGGACGTTCTAACCACTGAGAACACTGGCCAGGGCTTTATCTTCTAATTTTCTTAAAAATTGATTTTAGGAAGAGAGAAAGAGAAACATCAATGTTTGTTCTACTTAGGTATTCATTGGTTGCTTCTTGTATGTGCCTGATCGGAGATGGAACCCGCAACCTTGGCATATGGGGAGGACGCTCTAACAAACTGAACAAACTGGCCAGGGCTGTATATTATACTTTTATATATATTTATTTTTTATTTTTTTTAAATATATTTTATTGATTTTTTAACAGAGAGGAAGGGAGAGGGATAGAGAGTTAGAAACATCGATGAGAGAGAAACATCGATCAGCTGCCTCCTGCACACCCCCTACTGGAGACGTGCCCGCAACCAAGATACATGCCCTTGACTGGAATCGAACCTGGGACCCTTCAGTCCTCAGGCAGACGCTCTATCCACTGAGCCAACTCGGCCAGGGCTGTATATTATACTTTTAACAAAACAAATAAGGATGATAAATTGTATCTACCCTTAGACATTGACTTTTGTGGGTGTGTGTGGGGGGGAATGAGAATCAAAAGTATCACAAGCCAGAGATAAAAGCGTTGGCAAGGCAGTAAAACAATGCAACAATGTCAACTTCCGGGTCTTGGAGGTTGTAGGGGGGTTTGGGGGCGTGGAGGGGTGGGGGCTACAGTTGGGGACCTAGACTCGACAAGATGGGGGTGACCAGGTTGCAGCAGGTAACTGACAGCGCCTATCTCACCGGGTCATAGCTCCCTGACAGCGCCTATCTCACCGGGTCATAGCTCCCTGACAGCGCCTATTTCACCGGGTCATAGCTCCCGGGCCAGGCGCACTTCCCGGGGGTAACACGCGCCTCCACCCCCAATTCCCGCGCGCCCTCTCGGGGTCGTACCTGGTGGGGGTCTCAGTCCCCGCTCCCGCCAGTGGCTCCGGTCAAGGCTTCCTTTCCCCACCGCGAGCTCCGCACCAGCGCCTCCCGCCCCTCAGACCCCAGGCTGTGAGTTCATTGGCTCCGCAGCAGCTCCTCCCTCTCCGCGGGGCGGGACCAGCGGAGCGGAAGCCACACCTCCAGTCCCAGCGATTGGTGGGAAAACCTCCAGTAAGCCCCGCCCCCTCTCTGCGGAGGGAGGAGTCCAATTAATGGAACGGCCCTGGACTGAAACTGCTGATTTCCGAGAACCCGCTCGGCGAAGAAGGAAATGAGACCAGCTCCGGACCGTGGAAGCGCTTAGGGCTCCATAAGAAGGGGTGGGACCGGAATTTCAACATTTTGGGATCGGAAGGGGAGGGCTGAAGTAATAACAAAATAACTATTTACTGATGGTACTGCGCTAAAAGCTTTAGGTTCGTTCCTTTTTTAAATTTCCACAAAACCCATAGAACTGAAAATCATTACCCCCCCCTTTTTTTAATATATTTTTTTTATTTTTTACAGAGAGGAAGGGAGAGGAATAGAGAGTTAGGAACATCTATGAGCGACATCGATCAGCTGCCTCCTGCACACCCCCTACTGGGGATGTGCTGGCAACCAAGGTACATGCCCTTGACCAAAATCGAACCTGGGACCCTTCAGTCCACAGGCCGACACTCTCCACTGAGCCAAACCGGTCAGGGCATCATCATCCCCCTCTTTAGAAATTTTAATAACTGAGCTTGGAGAAAGAAGTTATTGGTTAGTGATCATTGAGGCTCAAACAAGTGGAGCCTGGATTAAAAACCAAACCCTCTGCCTCCAAACCCCAAACTTTAAAACTTCTACATTTTGTAGCACTGCCTTCCTCCCCTGTAACAAATCAGAAATTTGGATTCTGCATACAGCTTGTCATGTTACAGAGCCGGAATAAATGAAGCAATGCTGAGAGTTTGGAGTTACACTTTACTCACCGCGGTGGGCTCAGAGAAAATTAACGTATTTGCCGGCGTATAAGACAATTTTTTGGCTAAGACGACCCCCTAACATTTCCACTCAAAATACAGAGTTTGTTATATACTCGCCGTATAAGACTACCCCCTCTTCCGCACACCTTCCACACACCAAATAAAAGGTAAAACAATATCAGATTTGATTTTAACATTTTAATTTATATTCAAATGCTTATGACATGCAGGAAAACTGTCACAAGGCTGTATGTAATCAAACATATACATAAAACAGTGCAAGTTTATTACCGGTAAACATACCGGTAATTCACTAAAGAAAACACACTCTATAGACTGGTACCGTAGATGCTTCTCAGGAACACAGGCAAGCAGCCCACAACCTAGAGGGACTGTCAATGAGCAGGCTAAAGCAGGCTAGAAAGAAAAGTTATTATTTTTTTTTAGAATAAGAGGCTGTCTAAAGAATAGCAGAGAATTCCAAACAGTAGTTTTACAAAATAGGGGTTGGCCTTCTCAGTCAGAATACTAGATTTATTTATTCTGTGTTTACCACCTTTTATATTCCAAAACTCTCATCCTCAGGATCATATTCATAGTCCTGGAACAAGGGCCACTCCCAGTAAGGGGCTGAATGTACTACGTCTGACACCAAAGGGGCCACTATAGAGGTGCTGCCCAAGCCCCCTTTGCTAGTCTCTGGAGGAGAGGTGTTTGCATCTTTTTTTAAAATATATTTTTATTGATTTCAGAGAGGAAGGGAGAAGGAAAGAGAGATTGAAACATGGACGAGAGAGAATCATTGATTGACTGCCTCCTGCACGCTCCACACTGGGGATCGAGCGTGCCTGCAATTCGGGCACATGCCCTGGCCAGAATCGAACTGCAATCTCTTGGTTCATAGGTCGCTGCTCAACCAATAACTCACATAGGCCAGGCTGCCTAGTTCTCATTGTAATACTTGATCAACCGTTCAACCCCAGCCTTCACTGCAGGTTTAAGTGCAGTGCTGACCACTAGTCCCATGGGCCCCCCTCCCAGTCCAACCATGGTCATTAAAAGGTCATAACCCAGGTCTATGATCCCATCTTGGCCTCGTTCCTTGGCCTTGTCCAAACAGTCCTGAGTAGCATAATAGAAAGCTGTGCCCAGGTTGTAGTAGGTTCTCACTGTTGGCAACCACTGGACTATACTGTGCACATCCTGCTCCTGTTCGAAGTCGCAGTCCTGCGTGGTGGAGCGCCGGGCCCTTTCTGGGCCTAGCTGTCCCCTGGCCAACAGCTGCAGGGCAGAGGCCAGGGCATCCACTGACACTCCCCTCTCGGTGTTTCTGCCTTTCTCTAGCCGTTGAAGATGTCGGGTGAGGATCTGTGTGGCAGGTATACCCCCCTGGCGGTAGAGCTGAAGCTGCAGGGCCTGTGCATCAGCATGGCAGCCAGCTTCCTTCAGGGCCATCATCAGTGACAGGCCTACCAGAAACTTGGGTAGAGGGGCCATATGGGCAAAGCCAGGCAGGGACTTCGGGAGCAGGGTCTGGCAGGGCAAAGGGCCTGAGGAGGGTGGCCAGGATTCCAAGGATGAGGGAAGCTGCATCAGGATATTTGTCTGGTTTCCATATGAAATGGCATCCACAGGGTGCAGCAGGAGGTAGCAACAAAGCAGCAGCTCCAGTGGTATGATGAGTCTGAGGCCACGCATGTCTGGGCCAGAGTACACTGGAGAGGGGAAAACCGGAAACATAGCTGCCCTGAGATGTGGTCTGGAAGTTCCCAGGACTCAGGGCATACCTCCTCTAACTACTTTAAGCTTCTGTTCTTTTTAGGCTAAGGCCTAGGAAAGAGGAAATGCAACTCAGTTGTTTGCACTTGGCCTTCTCTATCTAGGTTATCAGGGATTTCCTCTGCTTTATTTCCATCCATTTATACGGGGCCCCCAAATTACTTCAGTCCAGGCACCGAGAAGTGAGACTCCCTCGACAGGTGGGTAGCTGCTCGATTCAGTGCTGCCCACTTCTCTGTGCCATGAATGGACATATTTGCTATCCCCTACGATCAGTAAGAGACGTAACCTCTGCCAATATTTGTCCATTGGTACTGGTGCTCAGGCCTTGCCCCTTGTTGCACACTTGACCTCAATATCTAAGACTTTGTTCTTTTGCATTTTCTTTCTTTTTTAAACTTTTAAAAAAATATATATATTTTTTATTGATTTTAGAGAGGAAAGGAGAGGGAGAGAACGATAGAAACATCAATGCTGAAAGAGAGTCATTGGTTGGCTGCCTCCTGCACACCCCATACTGCAGATGGAGCCCGCAACCTGGGTGTGTGCCCTTGACCAGAATCAAACCCAGGACCTTTCATTCCACAGGCCAATGCTCTATCCATTAAGCCAAACCGGCTGGGGCTTTGGCATTTTCTACAGCTCCCTGCCATGTTCCCACTTTAGCTCATGAGAGAAGCCAGGAGACCCAGAATCAGAAATTAGATATATATCTACTATTTGCTCTTTTAAAAATTTCTCTTTTCAGTTTAAAAATTCAATTAACAAGCTACAACAGCATCTAGTTGAGGTTTTGGTATAAGGTAAATGAATGAGAAAAGGTTAAAGTACCATTCATGCTTAAAACACATTATATGCCCAGTATATGATAGCTGAAAGGAGGAAATGGATTAATAGAGACTCAGAGCTAGCTACTAAATGGAGAGGGGCAAGGCTAAGACCACCCACACATGTGTGTTAGCACTGGGATAGAGAGAATACTTTTGTCCTGATTGCTCTCCAAAGCTTCTAACTCCTTACCATATCCCATCCTTGAACACGGTTCTGGTAAAGGAGACTTATCACCGAAGTGGCACTGAATATCGGAAGTAAACCTGGACAAACTCTGGAATCAATTTCCCCATTAAGCACCTCAGAATAACTGAACATTTGATAGATTACATTGTCATCATCCATAGACACTAAGAGGCTCTTCTTAACTTGGGGCAAACTCAGTTACCATTTGAAGTGCTAGACCAGCCATCCCAGTGGATGTAGTTAATACATTCCTCAGGGTGATAATCCCAGTGCTGGATTTATCCCCACAGAATGACCTTACTGCTGCCAATGCCTTCTTCCTCACTGTGCTTCTCTCACGAATGAGGGTTTCAGCGGTCCTTTCCTTTCACACTAACAAGCTGAGGCTGCAGAGTGTGGGCCTCAGTTGGGCAGCCAGCCTCCTCCTGGGCCACCTCCAGAGCCAAGTGGATAGGTACATAGGCAGAGGGGCTAAGGAGAGGGGCTGTGTCCAAGAGATCCTGGCAGGTCTTGGGATCTGGTTAGAGAGCATGTGAGAAGGATGCCCAGGTTCTGTGAAACCCAGCTGGGAGGTCAGAGCCCCTTTCTGGGCATTACTTGGAAAGGCAGCCGCTGGGGATAGCGACATAGAGCAAAGCAGCAGCGCCGCCTGAATCACGGTGGGTCAGCAGAAAAAGGCCTGCTGGAGAGAAGCGATGGTCAGGTTGGGAAGTAGGTCAAGGCTTAAGATGAAGAGACGCCAAGACTGGGCAGAGCCTGGAAGTCTTAGCCCTTGGAAACGTGTTATCCTCAACATAGCTTCACCCCTACCCTCCCAGGCTTTGAATGATCCTCACCTGCTCACGAAATAAGCCAGAGGAACGAGACCATCCAAGCACGTCCTTTGCCTCGGTGCTTCCCTAATTGGAATGCCCGTCTTCTACATCTCACTTTCCCTTTCGCCCCAGTCAAAAATGATGACTCCTCTGAAAACACTGAGGACGTAACATTAACAAATATTTACCCTCCGCTTCAGGCGCAGGCTCGGTCCTCCTCACCTTTGCCCCATGCTGACCAACAGGCCTTCCCTTTGGTGGTTACTGCCTTTCCTGACCCAGGTCTCTGCAGACCCAAACCTGGAGCAGGAAAAATTCCTCTGTATCTTCTGGGGAAGCAAGGACGTGAAAGGCAGCTTTGCCCATGATTTCTGGGGAGGAGATGCCAAATCAGCTCTTTGTCAATGGATTTCTCAGCTATAGGGAGGGGAAAGAGAACCTACTAGCACGTCAGATAAAACCAGAGAGGTTTTTCCGTTTTTACCTTCTTTTTTTAAAATATATTTTTAATTG